CAAGGAAAAATATCTATCCCCTCTCAGTCTGTCTTATGGAAAGAGTTGATGATTGTGCTGTTATTATTTCTAAAATTTCAGTTTGTAGTGCATTTGAACAGTTGATTATATTTTTTTTTGTATTTTCATGTTGCAAAGGATAAAAAAAAAGTATAGTAAGGACTAAATTCTGCATAAATGATTTTATCTGTGAATTATGTTTTTCTTTGTTCTGATAAGTTTTGTATTTAAAATTTTTGTTTGAGTGGTAGAGGAATATCATTTTATTTTTTCTTGCTTTCTTTTTTCATTTGTCTTAAATCAGACTATTTTGATCAAGGTACAGTTTTTACATTGCAAATAAGTTTGATATGTATTATTTACATCTTTATATTTATTGTATTTATTTTTTACTTTTTTATTCTCTCTCTGCTCTTTGTTATTAACTGGTTTGCTTTATCTCAGAAATATTGATTTAGAAGAAGACTGGTTGCATGAATCACTCCCAGAATGATAGCTTGTGGACAGCCCAAATATTAGCTTTCTTGCCCTTTCAATTTCAGCCTGCCCTTGCCTCTATCTTATGGCCTTATTACCTGTGATTACAGCACAAAGGGGAATAGCCGTAGGACTACTTAGTGCAGTGACAATACATCTCCTTTTCTTCTTTCTTCTCCTTCTCTTCTTCTTCTTCTTTCTTCATGGGTCTTGTTCTTTTGCCTTTTCTGCATATTCTCTCTCTCTCTCTCTCTCTCTCTCTCTCTCTCTCTCTCTCTCTCTCTCTCTCTCTCTCTCCTCTCTCTCTCTCTCTCTCCTCCTCTCTCTCCTCTCTCCCTCTCTCTTCTCTCTCCCCTCTTCTCTCTCCTCCCTCTCTCTCCTCTCTCTCCTCCCCCCCCCGCCTCTCTCTCTCCCTCCCCGCCTCTCTCTCTCTCCCTCCCCCGCCTCTCTTCCTCTCTCTTCCCCCGCCTCTCTCTCTCTCTCTCTCCCCGCTCTCTCTCTCTCCCTCCCCCGCTCTCTCTCGTCCCTCCTTGTCCTCCCCCGTCACCCCAGCCTCGTCTCCGTCTCTCTCTCCTCTCTTCTCTCTCGCGTCTCTCTCTCTCTCTCTCTCTCTCTCTCTCTTCGTCTCTTCTCTCGCTCTCTCTCTCTCTCTCTCTCTCTCTCTCTCTCGTCTCTCTCTCTCTCTCTCTCTCTCTCTCTCTCTCTCTCTCTCTCTCTCTCTCTCTCTCTCTCTCTCTCTCAATAATTTTGAAAAAGGGGGGAAAAGTTGTGTTCTATTCATTATTTTGGATTGTCTCATTATTAGGCAAGATTTATAATGTTTATTATTTGATTTATTTATCCATTTGTATTATTTCTCTTTATATATTTTTTTATGTCTGGGTTACTTATTCAAAGATACAACACCAAAACTAAGAAGCTTAAGTTGTCTTATGTGATAAACCTATGGTATGTTCTTTGGATGTTCCGTGTGTATTCCCATATTCTTTCTCTGTGACTTCCCTCACAATTCTCATGCACAATTCAGAACATGGAAGCTCTGACGGTAGGAATGTCAAGTATAAAGGCCAGTGAAGGATATAGACATCGGTAGTAGTCTTGAGAAAATGATGCACAAGTATTGGATTAAGGATTTCTTCTCAATCGTCTTCGGGTTATTGTTTGTTTTGCGTATAAAAGGTGAGGTATGACAGCAGTTGTAGTGACACAGGGAAAGGTAAAGCTGCAGAAGGAAAGGTCCACGTTCATTTACAGATCTGGTGCGGGATCTTGGGAGCAGCAGATATATCTCAGCGGTAGGGGAGCTGAAGGCAGGGGGGGGAGAGGCGGGTCACTATCCACCATCAATTCATGTCTTCCATTTTGCCAGAGAGATATTTGAAGACCTGGTACTAGGAATAAGAGTTTTTTTTGTTTTGTTTTTTTGACAGTTGATATGTATTTGATTTGCATTTTTCTATGAGTTAATGACATTATTTTCTGGCATTTTTTTATTCATGAATTTTGTTTCTATTACATTTTTATTTTTTATTTTTCAAAATTTGGGACTCGGTCAGTCTAGAATATCATAACGGTTGAAAGAAAATCAAAAGATAATTTAAAGTAAGGGGACAGAGTGAGTTTGTATGGATGAGTAAATTATGAAGTTCATATAAGGGAACGGTTTGAGTAAATTGAAAAGGTAAATGAGAGTGAGAGAGAGATTGGGGCATGGTTAGAATAAAAAAAGAAATTTCTTGGTTAATCCCATTTACTAGGAAAATTATGCAAGATCCCAAGACATCCAAAACTAAATCTCATCTAATTTCATTACCTCAGTTTTGCTGATACATTTATATTTTGCATAGCAGATGTACATTGCCTTTTGGTAGTTAACAGTCTTTGCAGTTATGAATAATCTTATTAGCAGTGAATAAACAAGGCAAATATGTTAGTGTATGATATTGGTACTATTCATTATGGTTAATATATACCATTACAGTCCATGTGTTTGACTCAGAAACAAATTTTCTAATGAAAGCTAGGAAAATACGGGAGTGGGTGTTAGGTTCTTCTTTTGTTTGCCTTGCCGTGGATACCAATATTGTTTTGATTATGATTGTTGTCTGATCATATTAGGTGATTGTTATTAAGGGAGGTTTTATCCCTTTTATTTTTTATTTTAATTGGTACAGTACATTTTGAGCATTACATTGATTATCATCAAAGATTTTATTCCTCTAAAGCTACTCAATTTTTCCCTCTACACAATTATTTCCAGCTGGGAACATTTTCACTGGTAAAACTCAGAGTAGATTGGACTGGCCTAATCCTGACATTCCCAATGCTTTCGAACAGCTGACATGATCATAGTACAAGGGTTGTAGGCGCAATCCTGTCTGTGTTTCATAGTTGATTTCCCAATGCTGTCATTCTTGTGGGAGGGTGTCGTTGCTATTCATATTTCAGTTTTGCTATCTTTAGTTTGTCGAGAAGGAAGAATTAAGATGTTTTGTCACTTTTTTATCTGATTTCATGGCCCAGGTGTGTTAATTTTAATTTAGTTCGATGATTAATATTTTATTTGTTTATTGTTTTTATTATTGTCATTATTTATTCATGGATATTTTTATGCAACATATTTTGCCTTATAAAAATATATCTTACAATGATTTTATTTTATCTACATATATATATATATATATATATATATATATATATATATATATATATATATATATATAATTTTTTTTTTTTTTTTTTTTTTTTTTTTTTTTTTTTTTTTTTTTTTTTTTCCTCCCCTCCTCCCAAGTATTTATTCATTATTTTATTGATCATGTAGGGCATGATGATCTTGGTCTTTACAGCTCCAGACTTCACAATATGCACTAGGGATCAGCATGCTGTTTCTCGGGAACACCAGAATCCATTACGGGGTCTTATGTTCCTAGTCATTCCTAACCCAGAATACTCTAGTCCTCTTCTCATGTAAAAAGAGAAAGAGAGGAAAAAGAAATGGTGGAAAAAGAAAGAAAAATGAATATAGGGTAAAAGAAGGAAGGTGCATTGTTAGTCTAGTACAGATAACAATGATGAAAGGAAAGAGAAAAAAAAGTGGGGAAACAGAATACAAAAGGACATTGAAACTGCAAAGGCTTTGCAGATGTTTTTCCATAAAGGGGGGTGTAAAAATATGGAAAATGGGTAAGTCTAGGTAGAACTGATACTTTCTTTTCATTTGTTTTTTATTTATTTGTTTTATTCATTTTTGTCTATTTTATTTATTTTTTATTTTATTCTTTATAACATTTATTTTTGGCATTTTAGTGCTGAATAGGGTGATTTTTGTGCCTGTGGAGGAGAGTGAAGCCAGTGGCCAGAGCAGCCTTGTCGCATCCTGGCAGTATGTGCGTTGCATGTAGTCATTTGTACATATGTGGACCGATTATGAACTGGAATGTGTAAAGTTTTTGAATCTGTACATAGTTATTTTGTTGTCGTAATTTTTTATTTCTCTTCTCTACTCACTCTTCATTACTTCCTAGAGATTCTAGATTAGTGTATAATATTTTTCCATGAAAATGTGCAGATGCAACTTGGTGTAATATGCTATATGATCTTTTGAATACTGTATATAATAAAGTCATAAACTACCTCGAGTGAAATGCATGTTATGGTATGATTCTTAGCATAAGTGAAATCTGTTATCAATATCATCCCTAGATAATGAATTAGAGAGGCTATACCACTACATAAGGAGATTGGAAATTTTTTAACATTATTATTCAACATCAATTTCCATTTGAGATTACACCAGGAATTTCTTGACAGTAGTGAAAGAATATGCAAGGGAGTTTTTTATCAGTATATATTATCATCATTATGATTATAAGTGTCTTCATTGATATGATAATTATTGTTTTTATTATTATCATCATCATCATCATCATCATCATATTAATTATTATAATTATTGTTATTGTTTGGATATTTGGTGAGTTCCTCCTCTCATCTGGCGAGGAGTCGATTTTCAGCAGTTCTCCCATTATGACACCTGAAACAGATAGCCAGTCTCAAGAAGTGGCATTCAACCATACTTTTAGTAAGCCTAATTCAGAATCCATTATTTTCAGTATGTTCTTTTTTTCTTTTTTCTTTTTTTTTTAATTGTTTATACTAAATATTGAACTTTTCTTTATATTTGGTTTTAACTTTTATTTAGACATATGGGTATGTATAACCAATACACAAGTGTACATGGACATGTGTGATAACATAAACGCACACAAAAACACCTATATTCGAACAACTCACAGGCTTGTGATCTCATTTTCATTTTCTTTCATTTCCTTGTCTATATTTATATATATTTTACTCATTCTTTTCGTTGTGGATATGTAAATGACATAGGATTATATTCTTCTAAAAGGAAGTATATTTATGGCAGATTTTTATTTCCTTTTTAGTACCTTTAAAAACTACTTACAGAGGAATAAGAAAAAAAAAACATGATTATGATACGTACATTTGTATTTACAGTGCAC